TTTAAGATGGAAGCGGATAATTTCAGATGGGTTTTTTCTGGGGTCTATGGACTGGTCGTTGATATTGAGAGACCTATTTTATGGGAGGTACTAAGCCACGTTCAAGGTCTGTGCTCTTAATCCTGGTGTTTGGGTGGGGATTTCAATTCAGTCAGGTTCCCGTCAGAGAGGTCTACTGGGGGAAGAAGGTCCATAGACATGGATCAGTTTTCCGACTTCATCGATGAGCACCTTCTCATTGATTTACCAATGGAAGGTGCAACCTATACCTAGTCTAATGGTAGAGACCCAATTACTCTCTCAAGATTGGACAGATTTTTGATCTCTAGGGAGTGGGAAGAAAAATTCCCGGATGTTGTTTAGGCGGTATTAGAAAGGGTAACCTCTGATCATGTTCCTTTAGTTTTGGATTGTGGGGGTTTGTGTTCTCGAAGAAGCCCATTCCGTTTTGAGAATATGTGGCTGAGAGTGGAGGACTTCCAAGGGACAGTTCGTTCTTGGTGGGAGGGAGCGATCGTTACAGGTGTGCCCAGCTTCATATTTTCACATAAATTAAGAGCTCTCAAACTCGGTCTTAAGCAATGGAATAAGGATGTCTTTGGGAACCTTGAATGGAGGAAGAATAGAGTCTTTGCTGATTTTTCTAAGATTGATAGGCTAGAGGAGGCGGGTGGGAATGTGGAGTCTCTTTGTACTAGGAGAGCTTCCTATCAGACAGTTCTTGTTGAGATTGCTTGTATGGAGGAGATTTCGTGGCGAAAAAAATCCCGGGCTCTTTGGTTGAAAGAGGGAGATTGTAATACAAATTTTTTCCATAGACTTGCTAATGCTCATAGGAGGAGTAATCACATAGGACGTCTAAGCGTAGAAGGCATGGAGTTGTGGAGGGAGGAAGAGGGGCGTAGCGGGATCGTTTCTTTTTATCAGAAGCTTTACACAGAACTTTTAGGTTGAGGCTATTTCTGAGCTGGAGAAAGATGGGCTAGAGCTTCCTTTTACCGAAGAAGTAGTTCTAAAGGCCTTATCCAGTTGTAATGGGGATAAAGCCCCGGGGCCTGACGGGTTTACTATGCATTTTCTGATGGAAAGCTGGGCGGTTGTGAGAAATGAAGTGATGAGTACCTTTCAGGAGTTTCATTCTACTGGTGTATTTGAGAAATCGCTCAATGCATCATTTATTGCCCTCATCCCTAAGAAGGGAAACACTTCAAATATTTAGGATTTTCGTCATATTAGCTTAGTGGGTTGTATTTACAAACTCATAGCTAAGGTGCTTGCTTAAAGAATGAGGGAAGTTATGGATGGGATTATTTCAGATTCCCAGAATGCCTTTGTTGGAGGACGGCAAATTCTTGATTCAGTTCTTATTGCTGGTGAATGTGTGGACTCAAGGTTGCGTAGTGGTGTTCCTGGAGTTCTATGCAAACTAGACATTGAGAAAGCTTATGATCATGTAAACTGGAATTTCCTTCTCTACTTGCTTCAAAGAATGGGGTTTGGAAGTAGATGGAGGACATGGATTGAGACATGTCTTTCGTTTGTCAAGTTCTCAATTCTTGTGAATGGTTCTCCAGTTGGTTCCTTTGGGTGCTCTCGGGGTATAAGATAAGGTGATCCATTGTCATCTTTTATTTTTCTTATTGTTATGGAGGGCTTAAGCAGGCTTATGCACCGGGCAGAGAATCTTGGTCTCATTAAGGGATTCCGGGTGGGAAGAGATATTGACAATCAGGTGGAGATTTTACATCTGCTATTTGCAGATGACACTCTGGTTTTCTGTGATGCAGATGTGTCTTAACTTAGATATTTGAGGTGCATTATGGCTTGCTTTCAGCAGTGTTTGGGCCAAAGGTAAATGTGGCTAATAGTGTGCTTGTCCCGGTCGGAAATGTACAGGACATCTCTTCTTTAGCTACAGTTCTTGGGTGTAGGGTGAGCTCCTTTCCTATCCCTTATTTGGGATTGCCCCTAGGGGCTTCTTCTAGGTTAGTGGGGAGTTGGGATTCTGTGCTTGATAGGTATGCAAAGAGGTTGGCAGGTTGGAAGAAGCAATACTTGTCCAAGGGGGGTAAAGTAACTCTTATTAAGAGCACTTTATCAAGCCTTCCCACTTATTTTCTTTCTATGTTCCAAATTCCATGCTCCGTTGCTATAGAATTGAACAAATTCAAAGGAATTTCCATTGGGGAGGAAGGGGAGAAGAGTTCAAGTATCACCTTGTTAGATGGGAGAAAGTATGCAAGCCTATAAAACTGGGGGGTCTTGGTATTAGACAATTGATTCCTTTTAATCAAGCTCTTCCGGGCGAATGGTTGTGGAGATACGGGAAGGAAAGACACCGCCCTTGGCGTAGATTAGTATTTTGCAAGTATGGGGAAGACGTTGGCGGATGGACTACACGTTCGGTTTCTATTGCGGGAGAGTTGGGGCTTGGAAATCCATTCGGAAAGGATGGGATGCCTTTTTCTCTCATATCAGATTCAGAGTTTGTGATGGTAGTTGCGTTCGTTTTTGGGAAGATCTTTGTTGTGGGAACCAGCCTTTATGTCGTACATTTCCCAGATTATATATTATTGCAGTTGATCAACATGCCATCGTAGCTAACTGCTATCAACTTGATAATAGTGGGATTACGTGGAATGTTCATTTTCGGCGTTCATTTCAGGATTGGGAGTTGGAAGAGGTGAGCATTTTCTTGGATCAATTGTATCGGCAGGAAGGAATTGGCAGGGGTTATGACAATTTGATTTGGATTCCCTCTTCTCACGGTCGTTTTGAAGTAAGGTCTTTGTTCTTATGTTTGTCTAATTTTGCTTCCTATGATTCCCCATGGAAGACTATATGGCGCTCTATGGCTCCTACTATGGTGGCATTCTTTGTATGGACCGCCGTTTGGGGTAAGATTAATTTGAGGAAAAGGGAAAATATTCTTGTTAATCGGTGTCGCATATGTAAGCAGGATGGGGAGTCAGTCGATCATCTCCTAATTCATTGCTCCGTAGCGCACGATTGCTGGAATCTTATTCTTGGCCTATTTGGCATGTCCTGGGTAATGCCACATTCTACTAAGGAGTTGATTCATGCTTGGAGAGGTTGTCGTGTGAGTAGGAGTGTTCGTGATTATTGGAGATCTATTCCACATTGTATCTGGTGGTGCATCTGGAAGGAGAGAAATAGTAGAATGTTTGAAAGGAAGGAGTCGTCTACAGCGACACGGAAACTTTTTATTATTCGTTCTCTCTTTAGTTATGTGAACAGAAGTTCTTGCTCCTCTTCTGATGATTTAATTTTTTTTTTGGATTCTTTGGGGCCTTAGACCCCGGTCTCTCTAATGTTTATGGGATGCGTTCCCGTATTGAACGCCTTTTTTAATTTATTATTACTTATCAAAAAAAAATACAATGGGGCGAAGTGCAAAAAAAAAAAAAAATCCCTGTAGTTTGAAAATGCAAAAAAATAAAAAACCCTTGATGAAAAAGTGCATTGTATAGGGTATGTGCAAGTCATGTGACCTAAAAACCCTCTTTAATACCAAATCTACCCTTTGTGTGTTCTCAAACTGCCCCTCCCTCATTTCTATAAATACCTCTATTTTTATTATTATTCTCTCTCTCTCTCTCTCTCTCTCTCTCTCTATAATATATATATTTATATATATTATATTTAGCAATTGTTGATGCATGATAGATATAGTTTGCCAATTCATGTATAACTATATTTTAGTTTCCCTTTCATAATTATGACGTGAAATATTTTTAAAAATTTACCTTTTTGTTATGGATATTTTAATAAAAATATAAATAGTATTTAATATAATAATTTGTGTGACATTGTGCATGGATGATAATTGTCCGTTTACGAGAGCATAATGCTCATATTACATCTTGTTTCAGATTTGAGTGCTGACTATGCGTGAATCTGTATTTAAAATTAAAATTGCTTACTTTAATATGTATTCTTGTAGCTATCTGTTGTTTCATAGTCATAATTATGATACCAATGGTCATGTAGATGTGCATTATGAAATTTGATGGAATATTTGTTCTTAAAGTTGTTAGAACCAAATAACTTGATAGAACCCAATAGAATATTTATTCTTACGGTTTTTAGGTCCATTAATGCAAAATTGTCTTCATATAATAAATATATAGTTAAAGCAGCCTTGAGTTATATAGCAATATTAAACTTATCAAAAAAAGAGTTATATAGCAATATTAAATAGAAATTTAAAGATATATAACTGTTTGAATATTATTATTGAGATAGAAACTGAGGGAAAGTTGAATAGGTTGGTTGGAACAGTTTTTGTGAGATTATAACAAAATATTATGGTTGAGTCTGCTTTTGCCACTATGGGTTCCCCAATTAATGGGCTTGTTTTGACTTTTTATAAACTGATGTCTTCTTGGCTGTTATGCTTTAATAATTTTATAATTTATTTTTAAAAGAATATATATAGCGTTTGGACTGTGACACTTCCTCTGTACTTGTTGCCATAACATGTGTAAATGCAAATAGTAGTAATTGACTTAATTAATATATTTTAATGTTTATTATGAATGTTTTGAGCGTCCTTTTCACCCTAGATGTTATAAATAGATAGTGCATCTATACTAAAAGTATTTGCTACAACATCACAATTATATTGCCATGGGCTGTGCTGGACCACTGGTTTTCAGGTAAGGAGTAGTGTGGTCAGTTGAGTTGGGTCTAGTTTCAAACTTATATTAGGAGTCTGATATAGCATCATTGTCTAGCTATTTTGCTGCACTCAGCCTTGTTTATGCTATTAAGTGCATTTTTGGAAAGGTTGGGTGCCAGAAACAACATGGGCATGTGATAGTCACGTCTTCTATGACATACAAGTATATTAATTTTAACTTTTTTTTTTCCTTATTTTTTTCCTTTTCTAATTTAAGTGGTTGAATAACACTCCAACTGTTTGCAATGTTTATATTATTATGCTGATTTTATATATTGACAAGTCTTTATTTTCACAGCAACATAACACATGATTTAGCTGACATAGATTGGGATAACCTTGGTTTTGGGTTTATGCCTACGGATTATATGTATATCATGAAATGCTCTCAAGGTGGAGATTTTTCGAAAGGTGAATTACAGCGTTTTGGGAACATTGAATTGAGCCCATCTTCTGGAGTCTTAAACTATGGGCAGGTTAGCACTTTAAACTTTATATTTCAATGCTAATTATTTATTTGCTACAATAATCTTTACAAGGACTTGTATATTATAAGGAAGTACTTCTGAGCTTTGATTGGAATAGAAATTTCCTGATCTGCTTTCACTTTTCATTTAAGCTCCTTGTTGGTATTAAATTTTCTTTCTTTCTTTGATTTAACTGGTAGCATTTCCGAGGAGTGAGGATGTAATTTATGTTACCTTTTTAGTACTGATATAGTTTTCAACTGACTATTGTTTTCATTTCTTCTACATATATATAATCTTTGGTTGCTTATAAAAATGATTGCTGGATGTTAATTATAGTGGAGTGTGTCGCTTGTACATGTGTTTCATGATTTCATCTGTGTTTTAAGATGGGAGTATGGAATTTAATTGTGTTAGTTAGATTCTCATCTCGTTTAACTCCATGCTTTATTATCTGAATGGATTTTCAAAACATATCCGGTTCATGGTGAAGTCTGGAATGCAGATCAAATTTTGGATCGATCCATGGTGTGGGGATAGGCCACTTGCTTGTACCTTTCTGAGGCTCTTAAGGATTTTTTTTTTTGTACACACAGGTCTTGGTGACCGATTGTAGGGTGACTTGGGATGTGTAGTTTGTGAGACACTTTCAGAATTGGAAGATGGAAGACATTGTTGAGATCTTGGCTATTCTATATCACCAAGGGTGGTAGTAGAGGAGACAAATGAATGAATTTGGGCTAACTCCAGGCAAGGCAGGTTCAAGGTGAGCTTCTTCTATCAGTGGCTACTGGCTGGGTCATCCAACATCATGGAGGAAAATTTGGTCTACCAAAGCTCCCCTCAAGGTCTCTTTCTTCAGGTGGAGGATAACCTGAGGAAGAGGTGTCAAATATTGGTGAATCTGTATGAGCCAGAGGGATGGGGAGATGGTTGACCATCTAGTTTTACATAGTGTTGTGACTAGGGATTAGTGGGACATGTTTCTTTCTCTTTTTAATGTTAGCTGGGTCTCGCTGGTTTGACATTGAGCATGCAGCATGCTCGAGGCTTGGAGTGGTTGTATGGTTAGCTTGGTAGCCTGGGATGCTTGGAGAGCTCCCCCACTTTGTATTTGGTGGGGTTTGTGGCATGAGAGGGATAGGAGAATCCTTTGATGGTGCAGGAATCTCCTATTTGGGTGTTAAAATTGTCCATTCTTAGTTAGAGGAATCTCCTATTGAAGGATTTTGTAGTCTTTGTGGATAGCTTGAGAGTATAGGGGTTTCTTTTGATAGATGGAGAGCATGGTGTTTTTTGTGTCTATTTTCTTTTGGGCACGCACCCCTCTAGAGTGCTTTTAATGAAATAAGAAATATTACTTATAAAATAATATTAATAATAATAATTGGAGGACTGCAAGGTTATTTGAAGAGAGGTTTAACATTGCAATACGGGTTGATGAATTTAGAACTTTAGATGTATATATTAAAGGGCAATCAAAAAGGCAAAGAAATTAGAAATTGAATAAGTAGGTAAGAAAAAAGATCAAGATGGTTTTGTAGTCATTGTGGATAGCTTGAGAGTATGGGGGTTTCTTTTGATAGATGAAGAGCATGGGGTTTTTTGTTTTTATTTTCTTTTGGACATGCACCCTTCTAGAGTGTTTTTAATGAAATATTATTTATAAAATAATATTAATAATAATAATTGGAGGACTGCAAGGTTATTTGAAGAGAGGTTTAACATTGCAATACGGGTTGATGAATTTAGAACTTTAGATGTATATATTAAAGGGAAATAAAAAAGGCAAAAAAAATTAGAAATCGAATAAGTAGGTAAGAAAAAAGATCAAGATGGATATGATGCCAGATGAGGTACTGGAGTGATGTTAAGTTGAAGAAAAAGTGTCAAAAGAATAAAATTTCTTTTCGCTATCGCTTCACCAATTATGAGGACTGGGCTATATCCAATTCATTTGTTGTGAAGTTAACAAGTCAAGTAGTTTCAAGAATACTCTTAATTCAGCTCCACGTAAGATAGCCGAAGTACGGGGGCAAGAAACCTACCCAATAGTGAAAAACAATTGATGCTGATATCCTGATATGCCTAATTTGAGTCTCCCATCGCAGTGACATGGAAAGTTCCTGTGGACATTTTTTTTGGGAAGGTAAAGCAAATATATGTATTCAAGTATAAAGAACTACAAGTGGACCTGAGCACCAAGAGGTCCAAGACGTTTACAAAAACAGAGGACCAAATAGGCCCAAATAGTACAGTTAGAGCTCAAAGACATCTGCCATGTTATACAACTGTTATAGACACACATTTAGGCATGGTCTGAGCAGTATCCCTTTACCACAAATGTTCCCGTGGACATTCTTCTTCTTCTTCTTCTTCTTCTTCTTTTTATACTTTTATATTTTATTATTATTATTAATTTTTTTTTTTTTTTTACAAACATGCACTAATTTTGGAGTGGAGTCCCTCTCATGAGTAGCACCTTCCACAGATGTATCACATCTGAACTACATCAATTGCTCTTGTTGTTTGGCAATGCTTTCATTCGTTTGTTCCTCAGGATAGTGGTTATTGCTACCGCTATAGCAATTCCTTGTCATTAGTTGTATAACCTAATTCAATTCTGTTCTCCTATCAATTAGTGCTTGAATAGTAATGGCAAGCCTTAAGATTTTACTGTTAACTTGCTTGCATGAAGCCCTGTTTAATATATTATGCTGTTGGGATGGTATTCAGTTGCTTTTGTTACAAATATCAACTACTTTTATTCTTCGGTGTCTATTTTTAGGGATTATTCGAAGGTCTGAAAGCGTATAGGAAAGAAGATGGTAATATTTTACTGTTTCGTCCAGAGGAAAATGCATTGCGATTAAGGATGGGTGCAGAGCGTATGTGCATGCCTTCGCCAACTGTTGAACAGTTTGTGGAAGCTGTGAAGGTTACTGTATTGGCAAACAAGCGATGGGTAATATACAACTATAATTTGTGATATATATGTTTTTTTCTATTATATGTGTACATGTTTGATTAGTAACTCATCTGGTTCAGTGTCCCATTTCAGATTCCACCTCAGGGTAAAGGTTCCTTGTACATAAGACCATTGCTTATGGGGAGCGGAGCTGTTCTTGGTCTTGCTCCAGCTCCCGAGTATACCTTTCTGATTTATGTTTCACCTGTTGGAAATTATTTCAAGGTTTGTCAATTGTCTTCTTTTGCGTCTGTTGGAATCAAGTTGTTGCAATTTAAGATATACTGTTCTTTCTCATTATGTTTGCATTGAATCATGTCTCGTCAACTGCTTCCGTGATCCATTTATATAGAATAGAAGACACTCAAAAAAAAAAAAAAAAAAAAAAAAATCTTGATTCCTGTATTTCATCTAATGTCTTTTTTCTATTGTATCATTAGCAGGCTTTCTGCTTTTAAATAGTTGTAGTCACTAATGCTTTGTATTTTTAGACTGATTTTGCGGATATCTAGTAATAATACTCTTTGCAATTTTGCACCTTTGTGAAAGTTGACATTTTGACCCAGGTGTTGCTTTAAAATTTTCAAATCATCCAAAATAATATTGAACTTCTAAGTTGACTTTGATAAATATTATGAAAATCTGTTGCTGAATATTTAATAATGATTTCTAACATGGCACTTGTCTTATATTTTCAATGAAAATCACTTATAAAAATATGTTTTGGTACACAAATCATTGGATTAATTATCACTACATGCATATATGCATCATTTGGTTCATTTTCTGTGAATCCATAGTGGTGCCACAGACTTTAGAAGCATCATGAAATTTGGTTAGAATTGAATTCATTTCTATGATTCAGATGTCGTAGTGGAAAAATAGACCTTGGGAATATCTAGAGATCTTTAATAGGAGTGCTGAAATTCTTGGTGCTTAGTTCCTTATTTTTATGGACTCATGGGAGGAATTGTAAATCTATGGAACTTCTATTGTTTTTTGTGGATAGCTTGAGTATATAGATCATAGCAGCTGTATATGGGATGAACTACCCTTTTTAGTTCTTTTCAACGAAACTCTACTTATAAAAAAACAACTAGAGAATATTTTGAATGGGTCCTCTGCTTCTTTATACATATACATGTCTAAATATATGTTGAGGGGGAGGATGAGGTAGAAAATAATAAATGCAAGAGAGAGAGAGAGGGAGTAAAAAGAGAAAAGAATGTTTTAAATAATTAAAATTGACTTTTTGGATTCGTTATCAAGGACAAGTTTGACTTTTTACTCAAGATAAAATATAGGTGATGGATTGGCTTCTGCAATGTTGGACTGGATCTTCACAAATGGGAAAGGACTTAATGGTAATAATTCATGGGGGTTATTTGTAATAAAAATAGTAGTTCATGAGTTTTTTTTTTTGCTGTAGGTTTTCAGATAATATTGTGCAATAAGATTATATTATTAGTGCTCTCTCTCTCTCTCTCTCTCTCTCAGGCCAAGAGGCAATCCGCAGCCCTTGGTGCTGGGTGGGTGGGGTCACTCCTTGGCTATGTTTAGCCACTAAGCCATGAAACCCCAAGGAAACCACGAAGACTGTGGAGCCAGCCTCGAGGCTCCTTGGGCCTGCTACAACCCAAAACAATTGTTGCTGTGCTAGGTTTTGTGAGCCTGGAAGCATCTTTATAGTGAGTTGAGGTGATGCAAATCCATTGTACGTGATCACCTTGGGATGCTTCTAATGTCTGGCTGTGAGGCAGGGCACTTCATGCCTTGGGTTTCTCAGCACCTTGCCGAGGTGGTTTCTCAGAGAGGATACATGTCAGGAGGGTACCGAGCCGCATGGGCATGGCAGGAGATGTCTGCTGCAAGGTCCATGAAGAGCATCCTTGGATGAATAAATTGGTGGCATGTTTTGCTTGGGGCTGTTTGCCTTCGATGATAATGATCATAATTACATTTGAAACTTAAAATATGAAGTCCAATTTTTTTTTTATCAATTCTTGGCATTCCATTTGGCAAAGACAAAAATTTCCCCCCTTCCCTGTCATATGTTTAGCCATTAAGGTATGAAACCCCAAAGAAACCGCGAAGACTGCGGAGCCAGCCTTGAGGCCCCTTGGCCCTGCTACAACCCAAAACAATTGTTGCTGTGCTAGATTTTTTGAGCCTGGAAGCATCTTTATAGTGAGTTGAGGTGATGCAAATCCATTGTACGTGATCACCTTGGGATGCTCCTAATGTCTGGCTCTTAAGGCAGGGCACTTCATGCCTTGGGTTTCTCAGCACCTTGACGAGGTGGTTTCTCGGAGAGGATACATGTCAGGAGGGTGCTGAGCCATATGGGCATGGCAGGAGATGTCCGCTGCAAGGTCCATGGAGAGCATCCTTGGATGAATACATTGGTGGTATGTTTTGTTTTGGGCTGTTTGCCTTCGATGATAATGATCATAATTACATTTGAAACTTCAAATATGAAGTCCATTCTTTTTTAATCAATTCTTGGCAGGCCATTCGGCAAAGCAAAAAATTTTCCCCCTTCCCTTTCATTTCATTTAGGTCAGCCTACCCTAGAAAAGTGATTCTGTATAGTTCTGCAAATTAAATTTATATACCAATTTTTTTGTGTGTTAGGGCCAATGTTTGACCTCTTGGTGTTTCTTGTAGTAGTATTAGATTTTGATCTTACTTGAGATGTAAGATAATCTGCACTATGTTTACTCTTCTATGCCTGTCTTCATTTATAATCTTCGCATATTATTTTGGCATGGAAAGTTGGTTAATATTTTATCAAAAAAAAAAAAAAAAAAAAATTGTTGGTTAATATTATATTTTGTTGACCTAACACCAGGAAGGTTTGGCACCGATAAATTTGGTGGTTGAATCTGAACTGCATCGGGCAACTCCTGGTGGTACTGGAGGTGTGAAGACGATAGGAAACTATGCTGCGGTAAGCTAGCAGTATAACTCTTGTTTATTAATGCACCGTTTTAGTGCTTGTATTTACTGTAGCCTGAAATCTTGGAATCTTTTTCCTTCATATTTTGATCTAATAAGCACAGATGGATACGGATACAACACGACCAAAAAAGTACGGATTAGGCGGGGACAGGGGGACTAATAAATATGTCTTTTCATATGAATGATTTTGTATTTTAAGTGTAGTAGTATTTTTCATCAACCTAATGATGAAAATTTCACAACTCATAATAATTAATGAGCTCTAAAATTAATTAATTTATTGTTTAAAGAACTAAACAATTGAATCTACTCCACAACAACAATAATAATTGTTGTTTAAACCAAATATTTTATCTCATGACCACCATATCATAAAAAATGTGCAAATTCGTCATATTTACACTAAAACTTTCTTAAAACTCCATATGAATTCGACACGCGTATCAGACGTGTCCATGCTGTGTCTGTGCATGTGGACACGTCTTTTGGCATGTCTGACACGTGTCGGGCCATGTTTGATGCATATCTGTTGACACAAATTCTTTGAGTTTTTAGGTGCGTCCGTGCTTCCTAGATTTTGATGAATTTGTTCTTCCAACGTTCAGGCGAACACCAACCTCAATGGAAGCCTTTTTGAAGAAATTGCCTTATCCTTAGCTCTACGTTGTGCCCCTCCCCGTTCCTTTCTCAAAATTCAAATATTTTTCTCCTTAAGTAACCTATTTTCATCACATATCTCTCTTGGAGTCGTTTATGAATTTTTTTCATCCGTGATCCCAAAGGAACTTGCATGCAAGGACGGAGTTACGTTGGGCCTAGGAGTGGCAAGACCCCCTCCTTAAATTTTAATTTTCTCATTTTTTATATATTGAAATTTGAAATTCTAAAACTGTCCCCACGCTTAATCTTTAGCTCCCAATTTAAATCCCTTTGTCTCTCTTTCTCTCTTATCAAATCTTCATCTTTAATCCTCTCTTTTCCTGTACTACTTGACTCTCTTTCGGCTGTTCTCTCTTTAAAGAAGGATCACAATCTCTAAGAAGGTACAAAAGAATTCTTAAATAAATTATCGTCGTCTACTTCTCTTTTATTGTATATGGTACGTGAAATCATGAATTTATACCCGTTAGAAAAAAGTGAACCCCTGTAGAGCACACAATTCCCTTATTTATTTGATTCAATCTAATTATCAATAATGTTTTGCTTACACGTCTATATAAACCTTAAAATTCCCATGCATTACATTATTTTTAGTGCTTCAAAAACCCGATGCATTGTTTATGACTACGGTTTTCTTATTGATGCTTACGCAAATATGGTTTGCGGGTAATCTTGAATTAAGAGGGTTATAAGCTATTGAAAAGTCAAAACTAGTTCTTTGATGAAGACTATACTCCCATATTTTTTTCTTTTCCCCTGCATTTGCCGCTGCACTCAACTCCACAAAGCTTAATTCAACCATTTGTGTCCAGCCATATGAGTACCCTTTTGCAGTGCTGTTCTTCTTCAGTTTGATTTTGTGTAAAATCAGCCCTCTGGCTGAACACGGAAATCAACTATCATGATTAACCTTTTGATTAAATGAAGTCAAGTTGAAGATCCAGTTTTAAGGACTTGGATTATAACTTAAAGTTGCTAAGTTATCCTTGTTCTTTTTTATGTTTCTGAATTTAGGTTCTGAAAGCACAAGCAGCTGCAAAGGCCAAAGGCTATTCTGATGTTCTTTACCTTGATTGTGTTAACAAAAGATATCTGGAGGAGGTTTCTTCTTGCAATATTTTTCTTGTGAAGGTATTTTGACCATTAAACCAGCTGGTGTCTTGTACATCTATTTTTGTTATTCTGATTTTTTAGGTAGAAACAGAGTTGTGACTTTTAAGCAATTTCAAATTTGTTAACTAAACTTCTGAAATATTATGACTTTATCCATGCGTTGTTCATATAATCGTATGCTAAGATTTAGTTTGTTTTTAAGTTATAGTCATGTCTTGATCAATTGTATCACACCAGATTGTTAATGTACTCCAGCAGTTTAGCACTTGACTTGCTGACATCGGAGTTAAAATCTGTTTTTCTAATCACTGCGAATTCTTGATTTGAATTATGACATTTTCCTTTTTTCTTTTCCCTCCATTTCCTTGTCACTGTAGTGGAAATGACGGTCATCATTTGAGATGGTACATCATTGCTTTGCATGGTTTAGGGTTTTCATACTAGCACAAGGTTTTGAACCTTCTCCAACTCTCCCTACCTGCTGCCTCATCAGTATTCTCTATGATATTATGATATAAAAGTTTTCTTGGTATAGAGTATGATTGTAAAATAAAAAGTGGGTTACTCTCTGTATATTGATTTACTGCGTTTTCAATTGCATCTAAGTTTGTACACATTAATTTTTACATTTGAATTGATTTTGGTTTCTGGCTGGTCACCATAGCATTCTGAGTGAGCTTGTTTTAGGATGCAATGATCTGCTTGATTTTCATAGATCCTGTTAAGTTAAATAATAAGGCCATCTAGAGTTTATTTCATTATAACATACAAGCTTTGCAATGTTTATTACCACCACCACCATCATCCTTTTTTATTTTTTGGTAGGTGCTTCTTAGTTTCTGTGTTACAGTAGATATTTTAAAATATAGTAGCCTTGTGTCCTTTTTAATGTCTTTCGATTCATTTGGCAATCCATTTGTATTGTCTTGAAGCATTTTACAATAGAAGGTGGTAAGCTAATCTGGCTTTATTTACTATGCCCTTCAGGATAATATTATATCTACTCCTGCAATTAAAGGGACCATCCTACCTGGCATTACACGAAAGAGTATAATTGATGTTGCTCGTAGCCAAGGCTTCCAGGTTTGTCTTTGCAGCTATGAATAATTTACATATAAGAATTTCTACAAGTCAACCTTCCTTCTATTTAATATATTATATTTAATAACACTCCCACAAAGGCAAGACATCCACCTTTCATGGACTTGCCAGTTGCTACATCAAAACCACTAGCAGTGCACTCCACGTCTGTCTTTCTAAAATCTCTTTCATTCATTTATAGCAGTCCACTTATTTGTTCCCATCTCTCTCTCTCTCTCTCTCTCTATATATATATATATATATATATATATATATATATCTAGCAGGCATATGTGGGAGTCTTGTAGCCACCATGTAATGTATAGACATTGTGCTATCTATGCGTTACACAATCACCAGCATGTTTTCTTTCTAATCCAGCCATATATTACAGGTGACTGTTAGTATGATCAGCCATATCTATGGCTGTTCTTAAACCTTTAGTAGTACATTGCAATACCCTCGTCTTACTTCAAGTTGCCTTAGTTGATACCTTATGAGAAATTGTGTTAGTTGCCTTGCAATGTGTGTGTATTTAAGGAAACAGATCTCGACTCAAATGTAGTTCCGTAAAGGCCTGGCACTATCTAGTCATCTTCCAAAATTATACCCCAAATTAAACCTCATTCAGACTAATTTCCTATTCCTTTCCCCATTCTCCAACATATCTAACTTTGCACAAGCATACACCTTATAGCACACGTGTTACCCAAGTAATGACTTGGGGGTTTGAATAGTGTCTATGGCAAACAATGGTCAATTTTTGCTTTTATAGGTTATCAATTATTTATAAGTAACTTCTCAAAATGTGCAATATGGAAAGATATATATATAAGCAATAAAAACACAATTATAAATAAGATAAGGGAAGAGAAATTGCAAACTATAACATGGCGATTTAGCGAGATTCGGAAATTCCTAATCCTCGGCTTAAGATCCCTACTTTCCCAAATCCACTAAGGCTTCTCCTTATGGGTAGAGAGAGAACCTTTACAAATGAAGCTAACTTGCTTCTCCTTCCTTTGCTAAGAGAACCTCCTTCTCTTAGGCTTCCTTTGGCTAACGCCAACCCTTGAAGTAAAATGTAGTAAGAATTTGTAGCACAAAGAATATCTCTCAAAAGATGTAGGGTCAAAGGTTTAGAAAGCATGGAAATGTATGTGAGTCTGTTAGAACTAGAAGCAGTTCACCGGAGTCATCTACTCTGGTGAACTCCCGTTGTATCCCTTCTTTTCTTCTTTTGCTTCATCTTTGTTTCTGTTTTATGTTCTCACATCCTAGAGATGAAACGGTCTTTTCTTGAGGTGGCTCGGCTCCCTCGTCTTTCTTTGGGGAGGTCTGTGAAATCTGCCATACCTCGTAGAGGTCCATCTCTGTATATTGATGGAGAATCAGTTGAAGGGAGAAGATCAATGCTGCGGTCTTGTTTGGTTGGGAGGTTTGACCAAGAAGTAGGGGATTGTGATCGTATTGACGAATGGGCAGCAAGGGCGTGGAATACTTCTTGTGGAGTGGGGGTGACTCCTCTTTCTGACTCTCTATTCCTCTTTAGATTTCCAGCTCCATTGGAGGCTCAACGGGTGTTGAAGGAAGGCTGAAGAAAGTGGGGATCAGCTAATTTGAGAATTGATGTTTGGTCATTCAGGCCTGGTTGCTCAGGAGTGTTAAAGAACCAAGGAGTTAAGAGGATTCGGCTATTTAGACTCCCTCTTCATCTCTGGTGTCGTGCCCTTTTTGTCGAAGTGGGGGAGTTATGTGGTGGTTTTGTTTGTGTTGAAGCTGATGAAACGAGAGATGCTGAGTGTGTCCGAATCACAGTAAAATTGGGTTCAGATTGTCCGAATGTAGTGTTTTTCACGACGATTGCTTCTGTTACAAAGTCTCAATCTGGGAAGAGGTCTCGACTGAACTGGTGCCTACTACGGAGAGCTTAGAAGGAAGTGATGGGGCTCATCTCATGACGGAGGAAGAGTGGTTCAGGATTCTCAGCAAAGGGGAGAAAGGGGCTGCTCAAATCCAACATTGGTTGAAGGAAAGAGTGTACCAGAGAACAGTGAGATTCGTAGGAGGATGGAGAAGTGCTCGTCACGTGCCGTTGAGGAGCGTAAGGAAGGTAGATAGTAGGGCCACGCATGGGGATTATTGGTCAACGACACAAGATCGCAATATCTCTTCAGCACGCTTGGTAAGACTTTCTGAAAACCTCGGGATGGGAGATAAAGCTGACTTATCACGTAATAGTGTTGCATCATCGAATTGGGCTGGTACAGGTAGTATGTTGGGCCAAGGTGGCAGACTTTATCAAAAGGCCACGATGAAATGGCCCGAGGAGTCCCTTTCTTGTGGGCTGATGGGTCAGGGGAGTGATGGGCGGAGCTACAGGGATGGGTCTTCTTATCCGGACCTGGAACGGGGAAAAGGTGGATGGACTCGGGTATATGGGCCAAGGCTTGAGTGTGGGAAGAATAAGTCTTTTGATCTGAGTACGGCAAATGTATTTGGGCCATTAGTGGATGCCTCCGAGGCTGAGTTTGAGGAGGCCCATGAGGGATCTCTTTTCAACGGTCTGGATCAGTATGGGAGCATCCTTAGGGATGTTCTAGATGCCTCCGAAACTTCTTATGAGATGAAGGGCTTGTCTCCATCTGCCTCCAAAGGAAGACCTAACGCGGCTCCAACACAAAGAGTCATTGTTTGGTGGATTGTCGGAGAGGGTGGGGGTGCTGTCTCCTGTGCTCGAAGGGGTTGTGGAGGGCGAGATGGGTCTAATAACAATAGAGGATGAGGGGGAACTTTGATTTGTTCTTCTGATAAAAGAAAGTATGCCGATGTTGCTAACGAACAGTATGGTTGAACCACCTTCTGGATTTTGATCCAGACATTGCAGGGGATGACTCGGAAGGAGATTTTTGTAAACTGATGGCTGGAAATGGTTCTGAGGTATCAGAGGAGGAGGTTTGGGACATGATGGTGGGGGACGAGGAGGTGATGGGCAGGTTGTTGGTTCCATGGGAGGAAACCGATGTTTTGGAGATAATGCAACCCTTAGCTGAAATAAGATCGGATGGGACACTGATGGAATTTTCTGATCCGGGGTGATGACAGGGGTGGAGTGGGTGAAGAATAATATCAATACAGTAAGCAGCATGTTAGGCGTCTCACTTGAGCCTAATAAAGACTAGAATCGACTATTTTTGCGTACAATGGCGGAAGGAAAGATAATGGAGGTTGATCAAGGCAGGGATCGTAGTGTCAGGGCAAAGAAGAGGGCTTCTCCTTGGAGAGGGGGAAGGGAGGTCCGGGGTCTTGTTTCGAAGGTGAACTATGATAAGAAAAATGAGAGGGAAGGATTAAGGAGTAGTGAGAGGGGTAGAGGGAGAAGGAGAGGGGAACGGGCATTGTCTGGGTTTAAATGAAGTGTCGTATTTTATCGTGGAATGTCCAGAGTGTAAATGACCCGAATAAGAGGAAAGTGGTGAAACTGGCTGTGAGGAAGTGGGGGGTTCATGTGGTTTGTTTGCAGGAAATTAAGATGGCGTTTGTTGCGGATAGGGTAGTTAGGAGTCTGTGGGGTGGAAGGTTCATCGATTGGGAAGTTCTGAATGCAGTAGGGACGTCTGGGGGTGTTTTGGTGATGTGGGACAAAAGGTGGGTGACGAAATCAGATGTGAGGAGAGACATTATCTTTGGGAGGAGTTGGGGTCTGTTAAGGAGCAGTGGGGATTGCCATGGTGTGTTGGAGGGGATTTTAATGTTGTTAGATCCCCTACGGAGAGATCGACGGGAGGTAGGTGGACAACGGCTATGGTCCAGTTCTCGGAGTTCATTGACGATTATTACCTGCATGATTTGCCGTTGGAGGGAGCGTCCTTTACATGGACGAGTGGTAGAGGTGTTCCTACCTTTTCACGTCTGGATCGCTTTCTTATTTCTGGTGACTGGGAGGAAAATTTCCCAGATGTGGCACAGGCGGCTTTAGTGAGGCTGATTTCAGATCATATTTTGTTGGTTCTGGATTGTGGTGGGTTGAGGTCCAAGATTACTCCGTTTCGGCTTGAAAATATGTGGCTTAGGGTGGAGGATTTTCAGGGTTGTGTGAGATCTTGGTGGGAGGGGAGTATGGTGTTGGGGAATTCAAGCTTCATTCTTGCGGGGAAGCTAAGGGCTTTGAAGATTGAGCTCAAAAGGTGGAATAAGGATGTTTTTGGGAACTTGGAATGGAGGAAGACTAGAGCTTTAGCAGAGATTGATCGTAGGGAAGGTGTTAGCATCATTGATGAGGGCCAGAGAGGTAGGAGGGCTGCATGTCAGGCAGAGATTGCTGAAATCTTCTATAAGAGATCTCATGGAGATAGAAATCTAGGGCTTTGTGGCTTAAGGAGGGAGATAGGAATAGTAAGTTCTTTTATCGGCTGGCTAATGCTCATAGGAGGGGTAATCACATTGGGAGGATCATGGTGGATGGGGAGCTTCTTGTCAGGGAGGAGGAGGTTCGTAGGGGGATTGCCGGTTTTTATCAACGGTTTTTTTCAGAGCCGGTTGTTTAGAGACCTCGTTTGGATGGCCTTTATTTTGATGCTATTTTTACCACATCTAGAGATGGGTTGGAGATGCCGTTTTCGGAAGAAGAGGTGTTGAAGGCGTTAAGGAGTTGTAATGGGGACAAAGCTCCAGGTCCGGATGGTTTTACTATGAGATTCCTTCTAGAAAGTTGGGATGTGGTCGGGAGCGATGTGATGGCTACTTTTCATGCCTTTTATTTGCAGGGGTGGTTTGAGAAATCCTTGAATGCATCTTTTATTGCTCTTATTCCGAAGAAAAGGGGTGCTTCAGATGTGAAGGATTTTAGACCTATTAGTTTGCTGGGTTGGATTTACAAATTAATAGTTAAAGTTCTAGCCTTGAGATTCAGGGGGGTTCTGGATGATGTTATCTCGGAGTCTTAGAATGCTTTCATTGGAGGTCGCCAGATTCTTGATTCCGTGCTTATTGCTAGTGAATGT